TTTGCAGTCAAGCGCTTTACAGCTTGGCCACTCCGTCCCCCATATATAGTAATTTCATCCGTATTCCTTCGTTTACCAACGTTTACCCTAATTTACGCGGTTCGGCAGCCGCGCAGTAGTTTCGAACCTGCCGCGCAGTCATTTTGTAAAACACGTATAACCTTGTATATAAGATTATTAGAACACCGCGCACACAAAATACAAGTTCCACACAAGCTTATCCCCCTTTGAGGGAGGGAGCCTTCCTTTAGTCGTGTCGTAAGTCTTTAAAACTTAATTCAATGGTCTACCTAACATTTTTGACTCACACTTGAGTTATCGTTCCTGCTTGAAGCTAACGTAACACTGCCCCCTAGTGTGAAACACTACACGAGGTACGAGACGGTCACTTGTAAGCTAATTTAAGTCAAGGTTCAACACCCGCCTGCCCCACGTCTGCTAGTTTTAAAGCCACTGACATGTATATTGTGTTGGACAAGTTATGAATGGACCGAGTTTCGCTTCCGTCTGTTCTGATTATAACATCTTCAAATTATGACCTCAAAAACAGACATTTTAAATTGGAGTTTCACATCGGGTTTAAAAATGGATAAAGTAGGCGGAGGGACATGGTTCAGGTGGGACGTTTCATGACGTCTTTTCTGGTTGGTTTGTGACGTTTTTTATTTTTTCTCTGATTAGTTTCGGACGTTCTTGATGAGATCTCATTGGATAAGAGTGTGAGGTATATTGACTTCTGTTGGGACGTTCTTAGACGTCATTTTTGTTAGGTTTTAACGTCAATTGACGTCTCATCTGATTAGGTTGGGACGTTCATTGTCGTCTGAAAAGTGCTTCACTATTCTTGTCATCAACAAACAAAAAGGTCAGCATGGCATGTAGGGTAAGGGGGGGGGGGGTCACAACAGTGAAGACGTGGTCGAGAGTTAGAGCGAGATGGTTTAACAGAAAGTCTCGGGTTCGGTTCTTGTCTTGTGGCGCCGTTGGGTGGACGAGGCTATAACACGTACCTGGCTTAATTCGATGATAGTAAAATACGTTTTAATAGATTCATAACTACTGGACTATCTAACGGTCACACAATTTCTTCCTATACTGTGACCACAGTGTTAAATGAACCTCAGCTTAATCTACCACAAGAGAGCAACATTGTTTCTTCCAGACTTTTTTCTCCGGTCACTTGAAGTTTTCGGGAGAAGGGGGGTGTGATGACCCCCCCCCCCCCCCCGAAGAGATGCCTGGAAGAAACTCTGGACTGCATAATATTCGGTTCAGGTACGGGTGTGTAACCTATATTTGATCGGTCAAATCGAACTACTATCCACATTGCTGTTAAATATGTTAAAAAAATTCATTTAGCAAATAACGTTCTGACTTGTAGATTTGGATTATAACATTATTTGTTAATTTTTTAATTCAGTTTTCAACAATATAATTTCCAGTCTCTTTCTTGGCCTATCGTCCACCTTCCTTACCCCGTTCTTCATTCCATCATAAACGCCGTCATCTACCTTATATTCCTTCACTTTCCAACACTCCAAAATATTCACTGAAACCCTCGGGAAACTGCGTCGAAAAGTTTACTCGCCGGATACTATAATTAACTCCACGACTCGAAAAACCACAACTCCGAAAAACCAAGCCGCATTACTCTGTTTATCTTTGACAGTTGTTTCCCCTTTGTTCTACTTTCGTTTTATTTTCCTTGAGCCTTCGCCACCTCTTACACTTGTTCGTCTAGATTCCCAACCATTTGGGCCTACAGAAACGGCGTTTAAGCCGGGCAACGGGAAAACCCCAACCGAGGTGGATGACAGACAACGGGAAAACCCGAAGCCGAAGGAAGGACGAGCAAACGGAAGCGGAAAGATTTTTAATAAGAGCATGATGGCGGAACGCGTTTGATGGCGCCTACTGCCCTGCTGAACGCTGAACGGTGTTGTGTTTGGAGGGCGGTGTTAGTGGGAAGACAAACAGAAGCCTCCCCACCTAGGGAAGCTAGTGGGACTACCCTCACTTTAAGGGAAGCTTGTGGGAAGGCTAGCTCCCCCACCATAGGAGCTAGTAGGGAGACTAGCTCCCTATCCACCAAGGGTAGATAGTGGTAGAACAAGCCTCCCGCCCAGGTAAGTTAGTGGGAAGACTAGCACCCCCACCCATGGAAGCAAGTGAAAAGACTAGCACCCCCACCCATGGAAGCAAGTGGAAAGACTAGCACCCCACCCATGGAAGCAAGTGGAAAGACTAGCACCACCACCCATGGAAGCAAGTGGAAAGACTAGCACCCCCACCCATGGAAGCAAGTGGAAAGACTAGCACCACCACCCATGGAAGCAAGTGGAAAGACCACCCTCCCCACCAATGGTAGATAAAGTGAAGACAAGTATCCTTACCCAGAGTTGAAAACAGTATACGTCAGTAAACAAAAGACGTATAACAGCACCAACTCACAGATAAAGAAATTTGTATTGGCTCATAATTCCAATCCATACACACTTTTATATATTTTAGCCTGTATGTTTAGCCACTGGTTACTTGCATGCCAAGCCGCTAGGTTATCCTAACATTAAGCCTAACCCCAGCATAAATGGATCCTCAACACATGACGTTACACGATTAGGGTATTTTTCTGATGATCTAATGGAGAGGAGTGGAAATGTGACCCAGCATTAAATACGTAGGGCCTACATCATTTTACGAATCAAAAGAATTACAATTACGGATATATATATATATATATATATATATATATATATATAGGCCCTATATATATATATATATATATAGGCCCTATATATATATATATATATATATATATATATATATATATATATATATATATATATATATATATATATATATATATACATATATATATATATATGTATATATATATATATATATATATATATATATATATGTGAGTAGGTATGTGAGTAGATTCTAATTAAATACGATGAGGTAATCGTAATTGCCCCTTATTTCTAAAGTTCCAACATCTACAAATCGTCCCTTACCCTCCCACACCACATATTGCATCTCCCTTCCAGATTCACCTACCCCCCCCCCCCCCCACCTCACCGTCTGCCCCCCCCCCCCCCCACCCCCACCTCCCGGGCCGAACTTCTCACCTTGAAAGTTTCCTCGCGACAAACATTGTTGAAAGGCTGAGAACCCGCGGCTTATCATGGCGCGGTCAAACCAACAGAGGGATTAGGGTGGGGAGGGGCTCTACACGGGACACAACTTGAGACCCACAAGGTCGACCCCACCACAAGCACAAAGTTTAAGAAAACATTTTGGGCCTCAGCAGACGAGCACAAAAGGTGTTTTCTTCTATTTTTTTACTGTGTCACTTTTGGTTTCATTCATTCAGTTATATATATATATATATATATATATATATATATATATATATATATATATATATATATATATATATATATATATATATATATATATATATATATAATTCCACCAGCAACATCTGTATCAATGAATGTATATTTAATACTTTGACAAGATATTACATACAACATGTTAATATTGTAAAATATTTCATCGGATTCATTAACCTCATCAGTAGCACTATTTTCTTAACCTTAATCTAAACACTAGCAGCAACGTTTGTTTTTATGAAGCTATCTAGCGTTTATTGGATGCTATCGTCTCGTCCAAGGGCATATTTTCTGTACACATTAGTTATGTTACTTGGTACTTATGTAATAGCCATGACAAAAGGGCATTACAAAATTATTATTTTTTTCCCTTCACGAATACTTTTAAAGTTTTGTTTTTAGAATTAGATCTGAAGTAAGATTAGGATTAGGATTAAGGCGATGGTTTAATGGTTAGTGTAGCGATACCTGCAATATAAGATTGTATACATGCTGCCCACCATTAAAGAAATGTTGTAGACCACTGTAGACCACCGTAATGTAGAATATCATACATCGCAAATAAAGTTTTACATTCACGCAAGTAGTTGTTGAAACAGTACTACTTCGTCCATAATTCTCTCCCGTCATATCCCCCACATCTTTCCCGTTATGACGAACGCCATTTTCATCGCACCCCGCCCCGCCCCCCCCCCCCCATTCAATCGAACGCCATATTCCCCTCATCCTTTCCCGTTATGTCGAACGTCATTTTCATCACAACCTTTCCCGTTCAACCTAACACCGTGTTCTCTACAACTTTTCCCCTTTCCACCGAAAGCCATTTTCTCCACATCCTCTCCCGTTTCGCCGAACACCGTCTCCTCTCCCGTTCCACCGAATGTCGTGTCACCGCGTCTTTTGTTTTAAACCCCGTCCCCCACAGCCTAAACAAACGACGCCGCCAACTCGACGAAATACCTCCACGTCTTTGATCTCCCTCGGCTAAAATTTGTCCACAAGATCAACTCATTTACCTTTCGGAGGAAGGGAGCAAAAAACATCCCTCTCCCTCCTCTACACCCCCCCCCCTAAGAAAACCTGGTCTTGGACTCGCTGCCCGCTGACTACATCGGGCACCTTATTGACGGAGCTAATTTGTAAAGGCAGACGGACCCGCGAGATCAAAGCCCGGATAGAACAATCGACAATCGGAGCTCCGACAAAAAGCTCTCGTGTACACATCTTCTGCTCACAAAGAAGCGCGTGCCCAAATACACCACGTGACAAATAATCTCCTGTCTCTGATTGGTCAAGACACGCATTATAAAATAAAAAAAAAAAAAAAAAAACCGCATCGAAAAAAATAATGGGCGGGAGCTAACAGACAGGGCGGAGATATTTCCCGTAGCGGATACCTTAAAAGTGGGCGGTGCCAAATCTCGTCGTTTCTACGAGGAATGGAATGGCAATCTCGAGGCGAGACCGGGGGGATCGGCATTGGAAAGATGCGGGCCCGCTAAGCCCGCCCCAGCACCAGCAACGCGTGGTATGATGTTGTAGAATTATGGAAACCTTCAGCCGACTCCAAGCTTGCTAGATGTGCGGCACTGGGCACCTTGCTCTGCATAACAGGAGTTGAAGCGCCAAGAATGAGTTGCGTGGATTTGATGTATCAGTTCTACTCGCCGTATTTCTCCTACAAGTCTCAATCGGATGATACGCAGGTAAGAAAAAAACAAGTTCATTCAAACTTAGACACTAGGTTTATTTAAACTACACGAACTTGTCAATAGTGTTGTAAATATATAACAGCGGATTTTCGATTCGGGATTATAACAAGGATAATAAATACCAAGTAAGATGTTTACAGTTAACACAATGTGGAACTTACTGTGTGAAGTAGGTTGGAAGTTTATCTAAGTGTTGTGCAATTAATAGTGCTAGAAATTATGTGGACGTATTTCAAGTTTTTTTTTTTTTAAAGTGTGATTTCTTGGTTTTCAATCAAGCGGAGTGTAAGAGTGTCTTAACTTAGCGAAAAAAGTGATTTTATTAGCCGAAGTGGAGTTTACGTATAGAGTAAGACGGGTTAGTTAGCCAAAGCAGAAATAGCCGAGTTTGGGTTAAGGATAAACTTGTGGCAATCTTAACGAAGTATCTAATGAATCAACCATGAAACTTGTATAATTTGAATAGATCAAATATTTTTTCTACACAAGATAAGACTTACTGTGTCGCCACATACTTCCTATTTACACTGTTGTGATAATCCTTGTTTATGTCTCCTGTGGAATATTAGCTGTAGTAAAATAGTTATAACAATTGATCGAACTGAACGAATCGCTTACAGATCTATAAGCCTAACTTTTCAGTGCAGTTGTTTCTTGTGCTGGTTACATGTCTCGGTATACGCGAAAATAGTTGCTCTAACAAATGAGTAGGAACCGTAACCCATGATACAAGCGGCACAATAAAAAGAGAAAGTTCAAGGATATAAACAACAAGAAGGCAGAAATATACATTTAAAAATTATTTAAAATTAAAGTATTTAAAAAAAATTATAATGGATTTGTAGATAAATATTCTGCTACTGGAGACTGGACTTTGTTGTCAGATTGCGTGTGCAAGTTATTTTGACTAAAGACAAGCAGATGTGTTAAAAAAACAAAAAGAAACTTAACTTAATCCGATTCAGATCATATCTGGTCTGACAAGAAAATTGTACCAAGGAAAGCATCTTTTAAAAATTGGGGATCCCAGTCAGAGGCGTAGCGAAGGTTGGGGGGGGGGTGGGTACATATGTCCCCGGGCGCCGACCCTAGGTGCGCGAAAATGGGTTGGATAAAAAATTAAAAGCTCATTTTAGCTGCAGTTTTGAATTATAAACATTAAAAAAATATATGGGGGGGGGGGGGGAGGGTGGGCGACAAATGGAAAGTTTGTCCCAGGACGACCGGAGGGGTCGCTACGCATCTGATCCCAGAGGCTTGTTTTAAGAATGTCAATGCCGCTACAAAAAATAAATAAATGAGAATCTCAGTAACATAAAATTGTGTCCGAATAAGACTTCAATGAACAAACATACAGATATAACCAAAAATAATAAAGACGTCAATTATAGTTATGTTAAAATATGGTGGCTATATATTAGAGAGATAATTAATGATATTATTATTATTTGTGATGTAATTACTGATAATTAGGCATATTTGGTCGGAACTGCTTCAATTTATTAAAACGCTTTCTTACACAGTAAAATTATGTGCGTTAGACTTAAAATAAAAACCTAATGCTGTTATGTTAACCATTGGAATTGTTAGCAGCCGAGCATAAGATCACATAAAAATTGTTTCGGGAAAGTTTTGCAAGATCTCCAAAGACTGCAGGAAACGTTTTGTAAGTGCGGAACCGACATATGTAGAGTTGGTTCAATGAACTTAATAGTAGATATATAACGGGTTATATATATATATATATATATATATATATATATATATATATATATATATATATATATATATATATATATATATATATATATATATATATATATATATGTGTGTGTATGTATGTATGTATACGCATTTTTGTACATGATTGTACCGATAATCTTGTGTCTGAAGTACAATATTAGTTCATTAAAGAATAGTAAAGAATTTCATTGAATCTAATTGGGTTTGGCTAATCAAACAATAACATTAAGAAATTAGCGGCGCCCTAACAGACGTCGCTACATTATAAATGATATTATGGCCCATCAAAGATATTTGAGCGCATCAAAGAACATGTATACATGATAATTGGAAAGTCGCTGTCTTATCAACATAAACATCATGAAGCGGGGGATCAGAAGATTGAAATTCGATGGAATCCTAACTTGAGATCCCTAAAAGTAAAGGTGTGGTCGGACGGAAGAGCGTATAATTGCATCATTAAAGTCCCAAGTTCAGATCTACGGGCAGATGAGGATAGTTAGAAAGCTTAAAATTAAGCTCGCGGAAGAATGAATTAAAACTTGTATTTGGTTTTATCGTACCGTTTAAAAAAAGAACAATTATTATCAATTGTTTAAAATGAATTTTTAAAAATTCGAATTATGTGAAAGTTCATGTTACCTAACAATTTCACAGGAGTTTACAGTTTAAAAGAAATAGGTCCGGTAAAAATGGGTGAAAATTCGATTACAAAGTTCCTACCCACACATACCACGACAAGACACGTACCACATGTCAAAAAATGTTTATTTATTGTCAAGTCATAAACTTTCATATGGGCCTGGATAATTTAATTCTCCTCACTAAACAGGTGTGACTGGTATTCGAACCCGAAACACTCGTAAAGTGCTCATCACCACGCTTTCCCCATGACTATGTTAGTGGTTTGAGCTGATACCGAGACGGTTATTTGCTAAGATACATGTGTCTGGCAAATGTTATCGAGTTTCGTCTCACAATCTTAATACGCAAAAAAGTACCAAAATAGGAGTATTATTTAAATCTTAGCAGATAAAGATTCTTTCCTTGAAGAATTTAGTAGTTCCGTTAATGCGTTAATTGTTAATAACAAAATACCTAAACTTTTGATTAACGCATTGAATAGAATTATGATTAAATTTATAATTTTGATATGTTTAATGATTAAGAACTATTATCAACATAATTAAGAGAGTTAAACAATTACGTGCGTACGAATAATCGATTATACTTTAATGCATTGATAATTAAATACCCCTCAGGTTTAAATAAATAAAAATTTATATTCATGTTTCATGAAAATGTTTCATATTTTTCCACTTAAACTACTTTGCAGTCATATCCAAATAAAATCAATGAAAATGTATTCATTCAATTTTGTTCTTTTTCCAATCGTACAGAAATATTCCCACCAAGCCTCCATATACGACACAACATTCCCAGCCCCGGGGCCTAGCAGTTTCCTGGACAATGTCCACCACCCGGAGAAGGACCTCAGGGACTCGGACAAAACCTGCCAACCTAAGGCCACCCAATATCTAGCCTCCAACTGCGTGCTCTTTATCTACTTCACTGGGGAGGCCGCCACGGTTGTTGATGAGCACTTTACGAGGGCGTTAAGTCAGCCGAGCAGTTACACGCTGGACAAGCAGGTCCAGAGCAACAAGCCTTACAACAGATCAGGTCAGTTGGCGCTTGGGTTGTACCGTCGTGTTGATTGTCTGCACCGATACACCCGCTTAGGTTTAGGGCAGAGGCGTAGCAAGGGGGGGGGTGCGGATCGCACCGGGTGACACCAATTAGGGGGGGTGACACCAAGGCAAAAAATAGAAAAATATATAGAAAAAAACTTGAGTTTGAGGGGGGGGGGGGTGCAAATCGAAAACTTAAGGGGGGGGGGGTGCAAATCGAAAATTTGAAAGTTTGTCCCCGGGAAGGGTCGCTACGCCTCTGGGGGGTGACACCATTATGTGCCGCACCGGGTGACACACGACCTCGCTACGCCACTGGTTTAGGGTTGGTGTTAGGATTGGGATTTTTTTTATCGGTGTTAATTTAATAAGTGAAAACGGTTTAAACATACTCACCTGACGAAAACGATTATTCAGGTGTGTTTTGGTCGTCAGGTACCCCTACAATCACCCCTTATACCTGCAAAATCAACCATTTAGGGTTTATGTTAGGAACACATTTTATCTCTAGCATTGGTATTTTTTTTTTGCCATAATCCACAACAGACTTCAAGGGGCGAGAGTAATCGGACTTTTGGGACAAGGGAGATAGTTCAGAAATTTGACGACATAATATCTTGTGTTTTAAAAAGTAAGTTTAGAAAAAAGAATTTTAGCTGCTATTTGGACTATCATATAAGACTTAAAAACTTAATAACTATTTATCAAAATATTAAATGTCGACCGAAAGCATTATATATTTTAGAAAGAAATAGATGTTTCAAGAAGCGAAAATTGCCATTTTGATGGGGTAATAGACTGACGTGTGACGTCGTTTTAGAGGAAAGGGGTTCTGGCTTTTTGTGAGCATGTGTGACGATGGGGGAGGGGGAGGGATAGAAAGGTAAAAGTCGTTGGAAAAACATTACGTTGTTTATACATGACCCCTGGGGATTAGTGTTATTACAATATTTGTAAGTATTATTTTTTTGATGAAGTTCATTTAACCCGAAGCACAAATTAAATTACATCCGTATGAAAACAATTGTTTCTTTTTTTTTACACACCCATTTTAACCGTTAGAAAAAAATTACTTCCAAAACATGATTTACTTGATGATAAACATATACATCAGTTGATAGCATCAAAGGCACAACCTTCAATCACACATAAAAGAAATCCGTAACGCTTCACTGCCAATAACGTTTTTCTTAATGAGAACGTTGTTAATTTAATTAGTGAAATCGGTTTTTAAATACTCACCTGACGAAAACGATCATTCAGGTGTGTTTTGGTCGTCAGGTATCCCCCACCTTCACCCCTACACCTGGCTAGATCAACCTTGCACTTTAACAGTTATAGGTGTATAAGATTATTATAAGGACAGTTTTAGCTCGACTAAGTCAAATGGAAGAATTATAAAAAAAAATCATATAAATAAGGTACATAGCTAAGGCATATACTAAAGCTAGTTATAGCTAAGTTATATTAGCTACGCAGTTAAGTCAAAAAATTTAAACTAGTTTAGTTGTTTATTTACAAAAACTGAGTCACACATTAAAAAAAAAAAAATAATAGAGTAGACTACTTTAACAGAAGCCACCTAGTTTTAACATTATTTTATAAGCAGCTTTTTTAGTCAACATATCATAATAACATATAGAAATCATATTGCCAAATAGCATATTAAGTCTTTTAAATCACATAATTAAGTATCAAAACCGATGGCTAATTTAAGTCACATAGTAAAGATATCTATTGCAGTCAACATAACATTTAATCCATGCGACATATTTAAGTCAAATAGTATGAATCATCTCCGAAAGTCACATAAGTTGTTTTAAGTTATAATCAGGCAATTGGTAGTGTGTGCCTTCCAAACTTGGTCTACATTAATTGGAAAGTTGAACTAGTCTTATATAACTTGTCTCATAAATTAGTCTAAAAGAAGTAGTCTAATGAATTAGTCTAATAGAAGCAGTGTAACAGAAATAGTCTAGTAGGACTAGACTAATAGAACTAGTCTAAAATGAGTCGCCATTATTCTAAATTGACTAGTATAAAAGGACTAGTCTAAAAGAACTAAATACAAACTAATTATGCAGATAGCTTGTCTAAAAGAACAAGGCCCGAAGAACTAGTCTAAAAGAACTAATCCAATAGAACTAATCTAATGGAACTAGAGTAAAAAACGAGTGTAGTACAGGAAAAATTTTGACACGGACAAGACGGTGGGTGGTACTTCATATACAAATATCACGTGACTTGATTTTAGGAGTGGGGAATCGGCGAGGGATAGAAGTGGGACAAAAGAACAAATGTCTGTGGGGTGGGGCGCCTGGGAACTGGGGTAGTATGTGTGGGGGAGGGGGGGGGGGGAATACAAACAGGCGAGCTCTTTAATGATAAATACCAGGCACGCACGTGCTGTCCAGCGCGAGGCGGCGCGCGCCACTTAAATAAATATGCGACCTGGTCGCTTTAATGGTTTGTTGAACCGGAGGGTGGGGGTGGGGTCGGGGGGGGTCGGGATAAAGTGGTCAGAGGCAGGTTATGCTTGTAGATCTTGTTAGCATGAGGGGAGGTAATAGTGTCGGGAGACGTGGAAGCACGTATTCACATTTTGTCATTGGTGTATCGGATGACTTACATGCAATATGGGGTGGGGGGGTGGGGGGTATAGGGGGATGGGGCGTGACCGAATGGTGTCGGTGGTTGGTGATGGTGTGGTGGGGGTTGGTGATGGTGTGGTAATGGTGTGTGATGGTGGTTGCTGATGGTGTGGTAGTGATGTGTAATGGTGATGGTGATGTGTGATGGTGTGGTGTTGATGGTGCGGTGGTGGTGTTGGTTTTTGGTGATGATGTGGTGGTGATGTGTGATGGTGGCTGCTGAGGGTGTGGTAGTGGTGTGTGATGGTGGTTGGTGATGGTGCGGTGGTGCGGTGGTGATGTGTGATGGTGGTGTTGGTGGTGTGGCTGTGATTTGTGATAGTGTGGTTGGTGATGGTGTGGTGTTGATGTGTGATGGGAGTTGGTGATGGTGATATGTGATGGTGGTTGGTGAGGATGTGGTGGTGATGTGTGATGGTAAATATGGTGTTGTCAACCTTTCAGAGTTAGGAAGGCAGTAGTAGCGTTATACAATGTATTTGAAGGATTTAGATATGACAACTGATCGAAGATAGTTTTTAACTGTTGAATTGTTTCATTTTCACTAACCAAAAACTCCCAAATTTAAATGTGCTTAAAAATGTTCATACGGTCTCGATAGGATTTTTGTAGATTGTAATTAGAAACGGTTCCAAAAAATTAGCGTTTAAAAACAGCACCCAAGATGTCCTAAATTAGTTAAACGTTTTATAAACACCGCTAACACTGTTCCAAATAAAACGATCTGAAAAACTTTGCTTACAATTTTCCAAAAAGAAGGACATTAAGTTAGAAAAAACACTAAACAAAGTAATAGTTGTAAAAAAAAAAATCACACAAAAAAACCCCATCATAAAATACAACTATACTATGCATCTAAACATATGATATAGGACATCATCAGATACGATTATACATATTTCAGCTCATGTGGGTTAGCCGTACACACTAAATCATTAGATAGCAGTCGTAGATAAAACTGATTTCATCTCTAAAGTATAGGATAAGGTTAGGTTAGCGTTGTTGGGTTGGTTTAGGAAATGTTTTTTTTCAGTTTAGATTTAGCTAGTGCTAGGTTAAGGTTTAGAGTTCAGATATTGTTCTCGGCTAAAAGTAAAGAAACTGTACCAACATTTTGCAACGGTCAATAAAAATATTAACGTGAAATCGAATTAAAGGCATCTCTTTCTCGAAAGAAACGCTAAACAAATGTATAATGTTTTTTAAATTTTAAATCAAAGTATCTAGCAATTTCTTGAGAAACTAGACAGGAAGTTGAGGTCAAACAAAAAAAAGTGAAAATGTTCACAGCCTAGTAGCGCTTAATCCTCCCGCACGTGCTAATCATCCCCTTAATCTAATAATCCGAAACCCCCCGCACGCGAGATAAACGCGTGTCTAAAAATAGCTCAAACGCCACAAGAAAATGACTCAATTATACGAAGGGGAAACGTCATGCTCCGAAGTTCCACGAATTAGACCACAGGTATTTTCACGAAAAAAGAAATCATTTTCCCACGCATGTTAAAAAGTTGCGTTTGCTTTTAGGGTGTTGGGTGGGGAGGGAGGGGGGAAGAGAGAGAGAAAGGGGTGTATATGGGAGAGGGTGGGTACTCTGATGACACCATTAAGTTAAATGAGCTATACTGAAGGTCAGTGAACTGTACTACGGTATTAGATAACAACATGTCCAATAATAGTTTGTGGCTAAAGTTATGCCAGTGTTATCCAACTCTTGAAGTTCGCGTTCTACTGAAGATCTCTACGTGGTAGACTATATGACAAGTGTATACTCTGAGTGAGCTCTTTACTTGTTCATTTAATCTCGTGAAGTAAGGATTACTGCAAGGTACAATTCAAATTATTCGCTGTGAGAGTGTGTTATAGACATAAGGGTGTGCGTTGTGTTATTAAAGTAGTTAGCAGTGGCGTAGCGAGGTCGGGTGTCACCCGGTGCGGCACTTAATGGTGTCACCCCCCCCAGAGGCATAGACACCCTTCCCAGGGACAAACTTTCAAATTTTCGATTTGCACCCCCCCCCTCAAACTTTCGATTTGCACCCCCCCTCGAGTTTTCGATTTACACCCCCCCCTCAAACTTTCGATTTGCACCCCCCCCTCGAGTTTTTCTCTATATATTTTGCTATTTTTTGCCTTGGTGTCACCCCCCTAAATGGTGTCACCCGGTGCGGTCCGCACCCCCCGCCCCCCCCCTCGCTACGCCCCTGGTAGTTAGTACTCTTGGTATAGTGGTGACGAAAAGTGTCTGTACAACTCAGTGGCGTAGCCAGGATCGTCTCAAGGGGGGGGGGGGGTTCCAATTTTTACCCGGGGACAAACTTTCGATTTGCACCCCCCTCAT